TGACATTACCACTAGGCCACCACCGCCGAACATGGAATGTGGTCACGTATATCTGGATCATCAGACAATGATCTGGCCAATTACTTTCTATAAAACATACTTTATTTCTATCAATAAACATTTTTACTTGCTGCTACCAAATCTCCGCGTATTTGATCGGTGTCTGTAGTTCGAGTTGGAGCCAATCCAGTTCTGACTATTACAGTACGGGTTCTCGTATTCCAAAATTCCATACAATTCCGATTACTACAAAAAATCCACGATCAGAGTATCCAATTCGGCGGCCCACACCACGTTCTCTGAGACTCTTTGCGCCGCATCCAACTTCTCCAGTGCTCGAGCTTTGACAAGCGCTCGGAGGGCCACCAACTTACCCCGGTTGGACCGTGTCCCCGCAAGCTCCGTGACATCCTCAAACTCCTCCGGGAATGTCCGTTCATCTCCATCCTCGAAGGCTTCAGGCCATGGAACTTTCATCGTGATGCTGGCGACGGCACAAGTTGCTACCATTTCGCAAGGCGATGCCTGATCCAAGTTATTTGTTTAGTGTAATTGACGGTCAGGGTATCGGTCAATTGGCATTCATCCAACAATATTCTCAGTTGGAACCAGTTTTCAGAATTCTCACACGCTTACGGGATAAGTAAAAGTGCGGTCCACTATTAGATGCCCTTTCTTATAGTAGCTATACTCAACCGCAGCAATTCATTCCAACTGATCTTGTTTATTTTTGACCGTTGAAAGGAACCACTAAGCACATCTTATTGCGGACTACTCATACGAGTGAGTAGTATGTCACGGTATTAATAGGATTATATGGCACATAGATTGATATTAACGTGGTGCTTATACCTCTCCCCTGCGCATAAATAGAACAATACATGGACAAAGGCGAACATACTGCATACTTACTTAACCGTTGTTAAATGAAAGTGAAAAAATCCGTTTACCAGAACAGTCCACACAAGTTTATCTAATCTCCTAAAGCAGCAGAAACAAGTTAGCAATGCACTTTATTCATTCATTGTGGACAGAATTTTCAGTGGAAAAGCTACCACGTTTTCTTTGGCATGCGTGCTATCTTAAAATCAATTCAAAGGTATAACATTCAATAGATGGACAACAGTGATGATGATGATGCGGAGCGAGAACGCGTAACAAATGTAGTAAATTGCATTTATACAACATTTACACGCAATTGTATCCCTGTTCATTTTATATTCTTCCCCCGGAAACCGGTAAACGAGGTAGATTAGGTATAACATAATTGTGAAAAGCTGTGGGGTGAGTGTTTGAAGGTGACAGAAGTGGAAATGGAGCGAGAATGGGTCGGGTGTAGAGGATGTGGTACATTAGACAAATCTACGGCACAGTCAGCCACACACTTTAAGGTGTAAGTTGACAATCAAGTCAATCAGCGCCACATACGGGACAGCTCCGTATCTGTAGAGATGCCTTTCAGAGAATCTCTGATCAATATGAACTCCTTAGACAATGGACCGGAGAAGATAACGGGGTAACAGTAGATCCAATGACAAAAACGCACGAGAAAATATAAACAACAGTAGCCGCAGATGTCGAAGGCGTGAGATGTAACACATCAACCTTCTGATTGCAGGAAATGTTTGTTGTACGTGCTAGGACCAATTGAGGTCATCAGACAGAAAACATCCGAGGTATTTCAAGTTCTGTGATCTTTCAACGGTTAGGTTGTTGACTACGATGTTGGGAGCAGATGATTCGGAAAGTATTGATGGTCTACGATTAATGGAAAACAAAATTGAAACGTATTTTATTGGGTTTAAAAAAGGTTAACACCATAGGACCGTTCATAAATGAAATTTAATGGCTGGTTGAATGGGTTGTGGTGGGATGCAGCACTGATCACAACTTCAGTGGCGTATTCAAATGTGAATGCAGTTGGGGTTATTCGGTAAGTTTTGAATGTAAAGGGAGAACAGAAAAAGAGGATAAAATTGCTCCCTGCAATACAGCTTGGTTCACATTTAACAGTAAAAGCCCTAATACCATTAAGACAAGTGAAATGGAGTCGGTCAGTAATATAGTCATGCATGGAAGCCAAAAGAGGTGGTGGCAGATCATGTTGCTGTAACAGTGTCATTAGGGTGTTTCTGTCTACTGAGTTAAAAGTGTTTTTATAGTCCCTAAAGCAGAAATGAACAATTTCGTATTTTTGGTCGATCGTAGATAAAACGGAAGGTGTAAGACAGGGAGCCGTATCTACAGTAGACAGTGACGTTTAAACTTGGCAAACTGATTGGAATTAGAAAGATCAACAGAAGAAGATAGACCCTAACAATAATACACTTAAAAGTTTTAAGTAGTATTGAAGCAATAGGTTACAATTTCACGTTTTCTGTCTTAGTTACTGGAATGATGCAAACATCAGGCCGTGTTAACTATAGTCTCCCATATGACAGACATGTATTAAAGATGAATTAAACAAATTGTGCGAGGTAGTTCGCACATATTTTTAGGACCACTTAGGACAGCCTGTCAAATACGGAAGATTTATTGCTGTTCATAGCATTCAGCTACTTTAAAACTGGTTCTGTAGTGACGGTCAAAGGAGACGGGAGATCAAGGGATGGTGTACTTGATTTCGATAATACGCAATACACAATATTGCTCAGTGTAGCAAAAGATTCCCAAAGTAGAACCCGATCCCGGCAGCCGACCTGATTTTCTTGAGCGGTATTCAGTTCGCCTTCACTCAGATTCGGGTACATGTCATCGTCACTCGGATACTTTATGATGCTCGGTGACAGAAAAAACGCTTAAGTGAACGAAATTTCAGTGTTTGTTCAGAAATCGCGCCGTGACCTCGTCATTATGCAAGACCAATATAAATCTGAATGCACAGCCACCGAACCAGGCATCTTTCTCTTGATGAAAACTTGCTCTTTCTTCCAATCGAACTAGACAGCTCCCCACACCATAACAAACGGAACCGCTATCATTTTACAATTTTGATAAAATTTTCTGCTTTTTCGGTATACCTCTCCCACCTCGAAACTCGAATCCGTTTGTCTGTTATCTGTATACGGAACTTTGCTCCATCGTTCCAAAGAATATTACTCCATTTTTCCCCGCTCCAGTGATGATGATGCATTGCCCACTTCAAACCGTGTAGGGGGTTCGAATTGGCACTTACCAATATTTCTTCCCTTTTTTGTCCCATTCCATCTCCCATGCATAAACAATGGACGGGATCGGAAGAAGCGCAGTCAAGAGACAACTTTTAAACCATTTTGTACCTGTGTTGGTAACCTCTCCGTACTTTCCCGATCCCATGTGTGTGCTGCTGTACCTCGAGTATTGACTTTGATGCCTTGACTTGGTTTGGACGCCGCCGTCCGAAATTCATTAATTAACGTTCGTCTTTAACTGTTCCTTCACGAGGACCGCGTCCACTAATGATTGTGATTGTACGATTGTTTGACGGACTTAATTGCTATGCCGTTTCAGCTCTGTCTGAGATCGTTATTCCATTGTACCGTCACGGATTCGGACTTCGATGGATACGTCGGAATAAGCTCATTAGATCATTCCTACACATATTCTTTAACGCTCGTTTTCTTAACACTGGTCTCAGAGTACGTTGTGTACCGGGAAAGGTAGTGTTCTGTTTTCTTTTTTTCAAAAGAGTTGATGTTCGAAAGTGACTCATTCACAACCACCGATATATATTTTCCTTTGTACGCTCTCAATTGTCAGTGGAGGCCAACCATGGAGTGATTTTTTTCTGCAACACTATAGTACCCTTAAAACCGTTGATTTTGGTAACTCTAGCACTTTCAATATCCAAACGGTGGACGTGTCGACGTTTCTCCACATACTGATCACCTGATAAATAACTGTGACTGATACACACTTTCACATTCGTTTTGAACCGAAATCGGGAGGGAGGAGGAGAGGAAGCCGACTCATGTTTCGTCCCATATGTGAATAGAATAGAATTCAGAACAAATATGTGCGCATAGTTCACGAAAGTCAATGAAGTACTGTTCACGAAAATCAGGTCCGATGAGCACAACTTGTGCGTGAGTTGTTCCGTTCGATAAAGGTTCCCACTTTTCCCCACCAGCAGGAATCTATCGTGAATAATCCAGATTATAGATTCCACGTTTCGCAGATGTCAGTGTAGAAGCCAGTCTGTAAATGGGTTGCGTCACACACACGCGAGCACACTGTTCCTGGACGATATTGAACAATATAGGATGTATATACTGCCGATATTTGATCGTTTTCTCTGTCTGTGTGTTGATGATGATGATGATGACGATGAGAATGAATCGTATTAGGTGAGGCAATCAGGTCGTGCCAAAGAAGGTTAGTTGTCTGAACCAGACAAAGAATGCCCTATGTTGCACGTGAAAAGATGTGGGTCAAACGGGTCGCGTGGATGCACACACACACACACATACATACATACACGGAAACGCACATTGCACTTGCGGTGTGTGTGTGTGCAGGAACATATACTCTCACATCCTGCACGGATGTCTGAACATTTTGCCCTCAAAACAATCCGAGTCATTCTACAGCCCAGTTGCCCACCCACCAAGCTACAAATTCTCACTCACATGCCATTTCGTTCTTATGATGAACTCGCCAACCACTTCACGTAACAGATTGGAGACTGGGCGGAATGACCTCCGGTGTGTCCAATTCGCCGACACTGGATGACCTCACAACGAGTTATGACGATGATGTGGCCACAGCAATGGAGGTGGTCACTGGCGGTGATAAGTAACCGGGACACTATGACAGAGGGTGGGTGGATAAGGAGGTGGAATGCAAAGCATGGGGCTGCCAATTTGGGAAGGCTACATAACCTCTTTACTGAGAGACTAGGCGGCAAATTCGTGATTGCTACGAGTTCCGATTTTGGTCTCCCCCAACCTTCACCTAAAGTCCCTCATAGAAGTCATCCAAGAGTAGCTGTGGTCTGTTGCGGCGACGGAGGGAGTAACCTCCAGGACCCCTCGGGGATAGACCAACGGTCACCTTAACATGACCTGATTTGGAGTGTGTGGGCCGGGAGGGGGGGGAGGTTCGGTTAGTTGTGTGGCCCATTGCCGAATTCGGAAGCAAAACGATGGCGACAACAACAACAACAACCATTGTCGGTTCAGGCACATGTGACCGGACGAAAAGATGTGCCAGGTCAACGGACTTACGGTCAATTGTCCAGTTCCGAACTCGTTCTCTCGCTCTCGCTCTCTCAGCCACCATTACTCGTCCCGAACACACTGTGTGCTCGATCAAAACAAAAGCACACACACACGTGAACATGCACTAATTCGTCCATGGACTTGACACAGTGTATGTGACCTTCCGGTCAACCTTATTACAGATAGACGAGCACATTGGTCTGCGAACGAGGTCGCACTGTGTCGAAGTGCGCGCGCGCGTATGCACACACGAGC